ACGTTTTTTTATTGTGTTCTGTCAATCTGGTTTCCAATTTTCTTCCTGTTTCTCCAACGTAGAATTCTGGGCAGTTATTGCATGTTATTTTGTAAATGATGTTAGTATTGTGTGATTCTAAATAATTTTTGTTTAGTAACGATTTTAATTTAAGGCTGGGCTTTTGTTAGAATTTGACATTGAAAGGAATGTTGTGTTTATGGCTAGTTTTATCCAAGTGTGGATAATTCTTGAGCTGGTTTCAGGAACAAAAGGCAAGCTCTTTGTTCAATACTGTATATATATATATCCATGTCAGTGTAAATTACTTGTACCTGATGATGACAAAACCTTGTTGAAACATTGTACATTTGCTGTTATGTTAAACTTATATTAAAGTTTTTATTCATTACCCATTCAAGCCGTCTCAAACCATTATTAAGCTTATGATCTCTTATCATCTGAAATAAGTTTTTTTGAACTGGTTGTTGGCTACCATGTGACACTTTGTGCAATGTTTTTTGCATGACATAGTTAGAGATAATCAAATCCTAACTATTGTTGAAGGAATTGATTAATTGAGACACAGTCTGATGTCTTTTGCACCTTACAAGCCTATTCAACTGTCTTTGCTTTTAATATTAAACAGCCATTAGTAACCATAATTTACCTGATGGCAGATGTGTGTCTTTTGATTGATAGACCCTGATGCAGATGGATATTACTGGCTGGTCAAACAAATGGTCTTTGACAATGATCCTTCCTCGACAAACACCCACTGCCACGTTTAAATCTCTGCATTTATAGGACTGAAGCAGTCACCTGAAATATCACGTGATCAGTCTGTTTTATTTATATAAATAAATGGAGTGTTCTACAAATGTATTTGGAAAATCTGATTAAAGTAACCAGTCAGTGTTTATCAACAAAAATATGAATAATTTGCAATTTTCAGTAGTATATTAAAAAAAACATGTTGTTTCATAATGTATTTCGAGAAAGTTATATCTATATCATTATGTAAGTTTTCTTTGTTACATTTTAATATATTTAAGGGATTTTCTTTTCCTTTTATAAAGACTGTATGTCTCTTGGGTTACATTTTTCATAATTGATTACTAAAAGGTTAAATATTTTTGTTGAATGATAGTCTTATTATAGTGAAAATGAGCAATAATGGCCCATAGGCCTGGTTATTAAAGTGCTTGACTCACAATCTGTGGGTCATAGGTTTGAATACCATCACTCAAATGCTCATCCTTTCAGCCAGGGGGTCATTATAATGTAACGATCAATCTCACTTTTCACTTGACAGTGGGTGGTGTTGACTAGCTGCTTTCCCTTTAGCCTATTAATTTTAAATCAAGGACGGGTAGTGCGGATAGCCTTTGAGTAGCTTTATATGAAATCATCAAACAAATAAACAAAATACCCTGTAATCTAGTTCTATTTAAAGCTATTAGGTTCGAGTAAGTAAAACTTAAATTAAAAGTTAATTTTTATCAAAAAGAAGAATGTTATTGTGTTATATTAACAAATTAATTTTGCAGTCACTGCACTGTATAGTGTGTAATAATTTTATGGAAATAGATAGCAGTAGTGCTTACAACTGAATAATTTGTCACAGGACTTCTGGTGATTCTTTGTATGAAATTCTGGGTCTTCCAAAAACAGCTACACAAAGTGATGTGAAAAAGACTTACAGAAAGGTATGTTTTTGGAAATAATTTATAATTTGATTTTTTTAACTTTTGTTTTTAAGTGTAAGATATTATGTATTTAATTCATAGCCTTATACTTATGAAAGGTGTTATTTAGTTCTTTTAGACTTTTACCAACTATAATAAATGTAGAGTTAAATAAATGCTCAATGGCACAAAGTAACTTTTAATCAAAATTTGATAAACTTTAAAGGACAGTTTGTTTTAAAATTGTTTTGGTTATTTTAGGCTATTTGTTTCCTAAATACTTTGTTTAACATTAGTATTTGCATAAGCTTTCTTACACTGTTCAGAATTTAAACAGAAGTACTTTATTATTTGAATTTATAAATCAAATTTCTTTGTGTGCTTTTTTTTATCTATATTTGGTTTATTTTAAAATTCAAATTAAAGCTTTGTGGTAATTATAGTGGACTTAGAATTTATTTTTGATGTGTTAAAAAGTTGACAAAAAAGTGTATATGTAGTTTTTTTTTGTGTACAATAAATCTAGTAGTCAGTTTTATAATTTTTTGTTCTTTACTTCCTTCTCTCATAACTATGAAAATTTGCTCTGATGCCAAGCTGAGAATTAAAAAAAACTATATTAGCATATACCATGAATTGCTTAGAAATTTATATGTGGTAGTTGAATTGTTCTCATTACCATAAATCAAGTAACTAAAATTCTCTACCCATGTCGTGAAAAATGCTAGTTTTATAGGTTGTTCATCTGGTATTTTTTTGTTTAGTTGGCTTTGAAGTATCATCCAGACAAGAATGAGGGTAATCCTGATGCTGCTGATATAGTAAGTTATAACTTCACTGAGGAATAAATGCTGGAGCTTTGGATAGTTTGAATATTGACACAAACCAAAAACAATACACTTGTATTGTTACTGAATGATTATCTGCCTTTCTTTAGCCCTTAGATAATAAACTAGATTTTGATATGGCAGAGATGATGTATTGTTAATCTACAAACAAAATAATACTGAAAAGTACTACTTGACATTTACAAACTACCAGTTAAATCTATTTCGTAGCTGTACTTGCTCAATCAAATGTTAGGGCATTGCACTCATCCCTCACTTTTGCCAAAAGCTGTCTTATTAAATCAGCATGTTACAAAAAAACTTACCTAAATCTCTATTTCAAATAATGCTCTGGACCCTAAGTTGCTTAATTCTACCTTAACCAGTTTCTATAACATTACTTGTTTATGTAAACATTGTTCTGTGAGAATAATTTAACTTTATATACAGAAACATCTCTAGTTACATGTAGAAAGACAACTAACTGTCACTTGGATAGTTTTATGCAGTTGCTAGTTGATTGAAAAGAAGAGATATATTTCTGTCATCTGACCTATCAAATAGTTCTTGTCAGCAACTTTATTTACTAACAATGATTTGCTTTTATATTTTGCAGCTATTCTTTAAAAGTATGGTCTATATTTGTAATAGTGCTGCTTTTCTCTGGAAAAATGTTTTTATATATATATAAAGGCATTGTTGATAATTAAGAAAGTACTGGTGACAAAAATCCTACTCAAAACAATTGTGCTGAAAGATAGTACTCATCTTTAAGGAATTTGAGATTGACAAGCAACCAACTTTGAAACACAATATGCGTTTGTGTGTATATATGTATATGACATTCTTAATACAAGCACCAAACATTATTTCAAAAGTATTATGCTGTTTATAATATGACCTTTCACTTAAGCTTACTGTTTATATATTAGTAATAAAAGTATAACAAATGAAATAGAAGTACGTCATTCCACAAATCAATATACAAGAAAATTAAAACCTGTAGTAATTAAAAAGCATTGAATGAACAGTTGAGTACCATCATTATTAAAAATTTTTGTAATACTAATACTGTGTTTTGAGGTTTGACCAGCTTAGGAGGAGTCTTAAATCCATGTGTTAAACTAGCATTACAATCTAATCTTTATAAGTGTAAACATTAGTAATAAAAATGGTAACAATAATCATATTCATAATTATTTTGAACAATAATCAACAATATTAAATCTCTTATGGGCTTGGTCATTTTGACCAACTTTTTAACAATAGTAATCTGAAACTATACATACTATATTGAACTGAGTTGTTTAAACATTTGTTTAACAAGTAAAAGCTTGGAATGGTCTATTCTTTCATTGGGGGGTGTGTCTGTGGGCCAGACTAGGGTTGGAGAATTCTACTCCTAATCAATGACCCTGGACACGACCACCAAAGGAAATTTCAGACTAAATCAAGCCTTTTATAGTAGTGAGGTATCAAAAATTGAAATGGTGTTTTTAAGTGTTTTACACTCACAATAAAGAAACCTATCATTCTATAGATATTTGAAGAACTTGTAGCATTCCATCACAATTTAATTCTTCATGTTTTTGTTTAAACAACTCTGTTCAGTTATGTTTCAGCTGCCTAGTGTCGGCTAAAAATACGGAGAATTAAGTTGTGGCAGAATGCTAAAAGTTTCTCAAATACCTATAGAATGATAGGTTTCTTTTTTGTGAATGTAAAACACTTAAAAACTCCATTTTTATATACATACTATAATTTTTAACATAGTATGTGTACCTTCATGAAATTTGGCAAGCTTTTAGTGAACATTACAACTCTTTCCTACACAGAAAGTCAGATTTTTGATTAAATATTTTTAATGATGATTTGCCTGTGAATTTATAGTTAAGAGTCTTGACTACGATTGGTTTGAATTGAAGGTGATTTTCATGTTAAGATTAAAAATACATGTTTTAGCTTTACAGCTTTCAAATTTCATTTGCATAATCTCTAGAACCTCCTAGATGAATATTAAAAGTTTTTCAGTAAAACTTTATATTTTCTATCTGTTATTTCCCTTACCATAACTGTATACAGATTGGTCATTTGACTGACCTTGTAACCACCACAAAAGAAATGAAAAATCAATCTAAATTACCCATTTTCTTTGTAGAATGACTGCATATGGTTACAGATCATTACACATTAACTATTCACGCAGCCAAAGCTAATACAATTCTATTCTTCCAGTCATTAGGTTGATTGCTTCACTGCTGCTTGGATTAGCACCAAAGAAAATTATCACATTGAAGAAACTTTGTGTGAACTCAGCATCGAGTTGCCAGTGTACTTGGTCAAATTACAATGTACTGATCACATAAAGTGTGATTGTACTATCAAGTGTTTTTTTTTCATTTTCTTATCTAATCTGATAAATTTCTAATTTTTACAGTTTAGTTACTTTTATAAGAATAAATACAAACTATACATAAAAAATATGGTACTTACATGTATGTCTTATAATTTTTTTTAATCTCAATGTCTTATTGATAATTAACCCTATTTTTTGGTGAGGATGTTGGTAGTACTTTACTGAATTTTTACTTATTTGAAATATGCAACTTAGAACACAAAATATTAACAATCAACAAAAACAATGTCCTAAAACTATTATAATTTAACTGGCTTTCTGACTAAGTTATATACATTGAGGTGACCTTAGTAATTACAGTCTATTAAAATTGGCTCAAAATAGCTCAAAACTGATCACAAGAACAAGTTAACCTCATAAGAAAAGCAGGAAGTTAAAACCTTCTCTTTCTACTAGTTATAAATAATTCAATAGTAAATTTCAGAGAGTAGTATTAAAATATTTTAAAGATAGCATGTGCTTGGAGAGGCATGGTGTAAAAGTTTCAGTTGATGGCATATAACTCATTAAAAGTAAGAAAAATAGATGCTACATTTTCATTTTAGCTTGGGAATATCTAACGTATAAGTGTGTAAGTCTTGAGAAAATAACATAGGGATGGAAGTATATTATAGAATAAGCACTTTGAAGCAAAACTGTCACTTGATACATAAAAGTGAGAATTAATTTAAGTATTTTCTTTTATAATTAAGAAATCAAAACTTATATGTAATATAAAATTTTGATCATAACCTACATTTTGTTGTCACATTTATTAATGTCCATTGATAATAAAGTAGGTTTAAGTAAAATTTGATTGCAACTCTTTTAAAAAGGGTCATGAAATGCACACTTTACTTACATCTATGTAAATGATTAAAGAAGCCGACTTTAAAGAAAAATGGAGTCTGTTATTTTGTTAATTCCAAAACACACAAACTGAATATACCCTTGAACATTCATCAACAAAAAGTGATTGAAGTTCAAAAAATGCAAAAAAAAAACAATAAAAATTAAGACAATTGCATAAGCTGTGAAAAATTATACACTTGTTCTGATGCTGACTCCATTTAAAAACATACCACTAAAGGTATATTTGTTTTTCTTGTTTGCAGTTTAAAGAGATAAACAGAGCTAATTCTGTCCTCAGTGACCTAACCAAAAGGAATATCTATGACAATTATGGATCTCTTGGTTTATATGTTGCTGAACACTTTGGAGAAGACAATGTTAATACATATTTTGTCTTGACTAGCTGGTGGTGTAAGGTAAGCAGGTTCAAGCTAACTTTAATTTTGGATGAAGCCTGAAAACTTTATTCTTTTTAACTGGAAAGTACTTCCAAAATGCTCAGTCATATTTCTGTTGTTCATTTTACATGAATTGGCTAAAAGTTTCTTTTTCTCTGATTTATAAGATATGTTATATTATTTTCTTTTTGAATTATTATGATCTCTATGGAAAATATGGTGGTTTAATCTGTGAGAATATTTGAATGAATAAAAAACATAAAATGAAAGGGGTAAAGTTTTAATATCTAAACTAAGTTGAACATAACTTGTGTAGTAAACAGTGACTTTCATAGATAATAATACATCATATTTATGTGAAAAACTTGAATAATTTGAAATCAGTACATTCGATATTAATCTCTGAAATGCATGTGTATGCAAAAATGATATATATGTGTTTATTTAATTTAAAACTGACATAATTCTTTTTGCAGGCATTGTTTATCTTTTGTGGAGTTATCACAGGTTGCTACCTTTGCTGTTGTTTCTGTTGTTGCTGCAATTTTTGCTGTGGAAAGTGTAAACCACAACCTCCAGAAGATACAGGGCACTATCAAAATTTGAAGGTATGATCATTATATTTACAATAAGACCTTAATAGTAAAATTTGAAGGTATGATAATTATATTTACAATAAGACCTTAATAGTAAAATTGATACAAGACACTGGTAGAACTTGAATGAAAGATTTTTACATATCATTTTTGTTACATGAAAATAAAATTAGTGTAGGATAACACAATAGTTCCAAGGTAGGATTGACGTAGAACAGTTCCATAACTTGAAAGTAAGATTTTTTTTTACAAAACATTATTATTTCAATGAGAATCATAACCCAAAGTTAATGCAGTCCAAAAATCTTACTTTTTCTGCATTATAATCTGAAGTAAAATATTAAATGCAACACTACAACCTTTAGATTACTTGAATTTTACATGAGCACTGGAAAACAACAATTTAGTCTCCAATTTAAACATAAGTTTTGTATTGTACAGTAGAACATCATGATTGTTTTGATATAAACATGTAAGACTGTAAATGGCATCACCTCCCTTTTTCTTTTAATAATAATATGAAATATCTGAAGGTAATATTGGAGTAAGTAGAATGAAAAGCTCCTAACCAGTTCAAAGATGCAGTTTTTTAAGGTTCTAGTAGGAGGCTTGGTTTTTTGAGAATACCTCTTTGAACAAGTAGTGATTGTGATAAAATACCTTACCTTCTCTCACTTAATAGCTTTTCTCGATTAATGCTACCCTCTACATGCTCAATTTTTTTCTCTTATCACTATTCTTGATACTCCCACCTACCCCACTTGTTAACATGGTACAGCTGTGCTGTAGCTTGCAAAAGCATTTGACACTCTTCCACTAATAGGAACGAGACACACTCTCCTTTTGCAGCTGTCTCCCCTTGGATTGTAATCTAACATTTTGTTTGCTGTGCTTTGAGTTTTCAAATTTTGTAAAAATTTTTGAGTTTTGTATATAGTTTTTGAACTTAAACGTTCAACTTGGATAATCTAGCAGCCATTCAGTATGAGTTGAAGTTTTTGTCAGATTTTTTTTTCTCTCTCTTTTTTGACAACAACTCATTTTTTTGCATCTTGGTGTACTTATCCACTCGAACTTCAGTGATGAACTTGCAGTTTATTGTCATGACAACTTTAACTCCTACCACTACCATAGTTCAAACACCTGTTACTGTGACTACGGGTGTGATGTTATCTGTAGAGGAGGTTTTGGCTCTTGTCTGCAGGGAAATGGAGTCATTCATGCAGGCTGGGGCTCTCCTGACCCTCCACCAGTTCTCCCCTACCCTGAGGATGATGGTCAGGAGGACGAAGACTTGAACAGCCTTTTCTGTCCTCCTTTCTTTGTCGTGCAGTCTTTGTGAGCAGCAGTTGATACTCCTAGACCTTCCTCAGATTTTCTGGACTTGGTAATGCAAGTTTGTTATGTTTTGTCTTTATCCCCAGTTTCATGTGACCCATCTTCTTTCTTGTTACATGACACTCCTGCTCCCGAATGTTTTGTTTTTCTCCTTCTCCTGATATTAGGGTCCATGCTGAGTGTTTTACCGACCAATTACGTCCAAAGATTAGTATGCCACATCCCCCATGCTCATGCTTTGGCCTACCATTGGGCTTCAAATCCATTTTCTGATTCACAACAGCTGGATTCTTTAATCCCAGTTTGGGGTTCGGGTCCTGATATCTCAGTCCATTTGTCCCAGGCACAGTTCTCCTGCCTTTGTTTAGCCTTAACCTCTCTCTTTCACTACTCCTTTTCTATTCAACTTTTGTCCAAAGCTATCCATCATACCCCTGAGGCGATTTTGGGGGATGTCCTTTCCTTATTGTTGTCTACGTTGGCACATTTGTCTTCCTCGACTCTGTCCCTTCACACATGGGGGATGTCCTTTCCCTATTGTTGTCTACATTGGCACATTTGTCTTCCTCGACTCTGTCCCTTCACACATGGCCTCTGTATTGTTGGAATATGTTGCAAAGAGATGCCCTTTTGACGTGGATGTGTTAGCCTCCCACATTGTTAAGAGATTTGCACGTGACACCCTTTTTGTCTTACTCTATTTTTGGTGGTATCCCTGAGTCCTTGGAGTCTTGTGTGGAATCAGCCCATCTCCATTCTTTCCTAGCTTCCTTGGCCTCTTCTCTATCTCAATCCTCCCCTGTTTCTATACCTATATCCTGTCCCTCCCCTTCTTCTCGGGTTTCAGAGGCAAATTGTCATAGTTTTCACTGCTGACCCATTTGCTGCTAATGGTATCGGTGACTATCTGGTTGATACAGGACCTGTATGGGCCAGGCTGTACAATTTTGGCCACATATAGAGAACCTTTATTTCAAATCCTTTGGTTATAAAAGTCTTATCAGAAAGACTCTCCCTTCTTTTCCACACACCTCTTCCTGTATCTTCTTTCTCACTTCACTTCCCTTTTCTTTGGGATCTCATATCCAGCCATTGTCTTTCCAAGGAAGTTGAGGACCTTCTTTCCAAAGGTGCTATAACATATGTGGTTCAGTCTCTTTGAGGATTCTAATCCCGGTAGTTTGTTTCCCGAAAAAGCACAATCCTTTCCTACTCTACCTACATGCTTTTGGGGATTTGGACATCCTTGGAGGCCTTTATTCCCCTGGGTCAGGCCCACATGAGGGTTCTTCAGTGGGCATTACATGATCAATGGGACCTCCCCAGGGATCCCCTGGATTCCCTTATCAACCGTCCTCTTTCCCTTCTCAATGACTTTGCATGGTGGCTAAACAGAGACAACACCATGACTGCATTTCCTCTTCCATATCCCAGACTGGATTTACACCTTTTTTACAGATGCCTTTCTGAAGGGTTGTGGAGCATATTTGGATTCTTGAGAGATCTCAGGTTGTTGGTTGCCAGTAGAGTCTAAGTTTCATATCAATCTCCTGGAAGTTTTGGCTGTTTACTGAGCTCTGGATCATTTCCTTCCCCTTCTGAATGGCAAGTCTGTCATGATCCATACAGACAACTCAACCATGGTCTATTACATCACCCAACAAGGAAGCATCCATTCTTGGTCCCTTTGTTTTCAAACATTGGATATTCTGTTCTGGGCTTACAGCCAGCATGTTTACCTGCAGGCTTGTCATATCCTGAGTGCTCTCCATCTTGTTGCAGATCTGTTATATTGTCCAGCCGGGATTCTTACCATGGAGTAGTCCCTCAATCCACGGGTCTTCCAGTGGCTACGCTCTTGGTTTCGTATATCCCTGTTGGCTGTGGTTGCCACTCATTGGAACACCAAACTCCCTCTCTTTTGGCCACCAGTTCCACATCCTTGTGCATTGGCAGCAGGTGTTTTCAGGCAGGATTGGAAGGATCGTTACATTTATGCCTATCCTCCCATCTGTATACTTCCAAGGATCTTATCCATCATTCAAACCACTGTATGTCGAGTCCCTCTAGTGATGCCTTTCTGACCTGCTCAAACTTGGTTTCCATTACTACAGCCTGTATAGTTGTTGCCATCAGTACCTTTTCCTCCTTCCACATCTCTCTTTCTTCAACCACATGCGTCCCTGTTTCATTTGTCTGTTCCCACATTCTGGCTTGTATGATTCTTTCCCAGTTTTGCTGGTTTATGGTATAACTGATCTCCCGATTATGGTCTGATGTGCCCTAGCCAATCTACACCATGTGCATGTCTAGTTTCAATTGGTCGAGGACCTCTTCCTTCTGGAGACTGGGAGAACCATTTTCAGTTTCTCTAATTTTGGACTGGAGTTGACCTTCAGTTTACTGTTTGTATACAGGTGATTGAGGACCCGCCTCTTACCAGGGACAGGGTGTTCTTTTCTTAGTTCCAATGGTTTGGAACTGGAGTTGATCTCCCAACTATGGTTGGATGTGCTCTGTCCACTCTATATCTGGGGCACATTTGGCTAATTCTCATATGTGCCTCTTTACTGCCCATTTAGTGACACTGTCATATTTCACAGGGGAAGAGTATACCTAGTTCAGATGTGGTGCACCAGTTCCTCTACCAGATCAATGTGGATTCTAGCTATTATTTGAGTAGAGGTAAGGTATCATATTGGAAGTTGTAATGTTCCTACACAGAAAATGTAACTCCAATAAATACTTACCTCTTCTTACACTTCCCATCCTTCCTCTCCACTTCCAGTGTTTTGCTCTTGGTGCCTAATCTCAAAGTGAGGTTAGACTCTATATTCCAGGATAAAACAGCTGCACCAGGAGAGTGTGTCTCGCTCATAATGGTGGAGGGTTGTTACATGCTTTTGCATGCTACAGCACAGCTGTACTACGTTAAACACATGTGGTAGGTTGGAGTATAAAGGCTAGTGGCGAGCAAAAAAAAATTGAGGGCAGAATTAATCAAGAAAAGCTATTATGTGAACAGAGGTAACTATGAGAAAAACATTTTTGTATAGGAAAATTATATTTGTGAAGTATTATTTTACAATGTCATTAAAATATACAAGGTAATAGTTCTGTACATTTTTAATAGAAAAGGATCTTTAGAAGAAAGAAAAAAAGCGTTAAAATTACTTTATGAACTTATGCAGGAAAGCTTACCAAAATTTTTATATTGCTATCTTTTCATTGATTACTTAACATGATCATTATGTGTTTAAAACCTTGAAGTTAAAATAAGTGTATGATGGAAAGGCAAGTTTATTACACTGTATATATCCATACAGGAAGAGTTAAGTGAAGAAGAAATTGCACCCTCATCACCTGTAACATCACAGCCTATAGGAAGTGATAATACATCTATTCCGATGCCAGATTCTGAGGGTAGTCAAGGTATTTCAGAAAAGACAACACTGCGACCCTCTCAGTACTCTACTTACATGACTAAAGAAAACTTGTCTGTTCAGGCTACTCCCACAAACTTTCCTGGCCATCCACAAGAGTCTCACCCTCCTGCATTTTACAGTTCATGACCATTCAACAGTGATATAACTAGCTAGGATACCAGTGTTCATTGAGATTCTTGTTGGTTTGTTCTTATAGAATTGAAGGTCATCAGGCTGTAGTCTGGTTCTAATTAATTATCACTTACAAATCTTTATTACATATGTATACAGGTTAGAAGGATATGAAGTTCACATGATTTGAAGAGTAATTACTTTGGTAAGGCAGAAGGTCATCGTATAGAGAGTGGGAAAGAGTTACTATACAGTTGATATTTATATGGCTGGTACTAAAGAAAATACTGCAAAGGCTATTGAAACCAATATAATTATTGTTTGTTTCAGAGGAAGATATTAAAAATTAAACTATTTTCTAAATGAAACCACTGGTATGTTCAGTTTTACCCTGTTTTATGTATAACATGTAGAAAATGATGTTTGTCTTGTTTCATATATATATATATATAAACTTCGGCAGGGGCTGGGTGTCAATCAAGACCAGGTTCTTTCCTTGCCCTTCCGCTCTCCAACCCCCAAAAATAAACAACATATACAGAGATTAGAAACAAAAACAAAATTGATGTTTCTTATATTTAACCAATTAATCACCAACAGAACATTCAAGTTTTACTTTCAATGCCTAGCCCCAACTTCTCAAACTGTAACCCCTATTGTTCTCAAAGCCACCACCTTCCCCAGAAATCCACTTCTCAAGCCATGCATGCTATTAACCCCTATTGTTCTCTAAATCTCTGTTTTTCAGAACACGCTTTTTTTTTTTTTAACTAAACCAATTATTGATTGTAACTTTCAGTACTGCGAAAGTTGCCACAAAGATTAGGGCTTAGATGCCATGTTCAATTACCCGGATTCGGGTGTTTTTAACAACATCACTCAGCCAGAGTTGAGTATTATCGGGTATTTCAATACCCAGCCTGGTACACGTGCATCTTTAATATATATATATATATACAACTTATTTATTTATTTATAATTTTGAAACAAATGACTGCTCTTTTAATCCCAAATATTTAGTTCTTCTGTAAAAAAATTTTTGTGGGGAAAAATATACTCTTCAGCAACAAAAAAAAAAGGTGGGAATGTTGAATTTCAACCTCAGTGAGATGCAAATGTAACAGGTAGAACAATTTTTCACAAACCCTACTTTATGTTGGAAAAACTTTAAAAGATATAAGAAAATGTTTAATATATATCACACACAAATTCACAAAAATAAGGTTCCAGATGTTTAAAGTGTTTTCAAGTGATTATTAAGATATTTTATAAAGAAAATACATTTCAAACTTGCCAAATTATGATATCTACATTTCAAAGTTTTATTTTTTGGCCACAAAAGGTAATTCTATAAGAAATTTACTTGTTGATTGAAGTAACTTTCTAAATGGGACTTGGATGTAATGATAGTGGTATATTGAGGGTTATAGTCGTGATATTTTTAAGTTGCTTAATAATTTTGGTATATTTTTTATTAGTCTCTTTGTTTTATAATCCCTTCAAAACATTTTAAGTTTCTGTATTTAATTTTACTGAATTACTGATCTTATAAATTTTTAGAACATATTAAATTGTTGTAGTGCTTTTTTGAATATTAAGTAATGTGGTATTACTTGTAAAAATGTTTTTCCCTATAAATATTGTACTTTGTTTTTATTTTGGTTGATAAGCCTAACATTTCTCATAAGTCTCATAAACTGCAGGGTTTTTTTCACATTCTTCTTAATTTGTTTATCTTGGATTTAAACTCAGATGAACAAATTAAAAGAATGTCAAGAAAAAACATCTGCGGTTTACATGACTTTTACCACAAATATTTGGCCTGTTGGTTTCTAATGCTTCACCAGCTTTTGCCATTTAAAGTTTTACTTTTATTGAGATTGATTTGCATTTTCACAACTAAGTGTTATTGAAGATTGGATTGTACCCTACAATATTATTGTAGAGAAACAACAGAATACTTTATTTAGAAAACCTTATTGTCTTATTTATTGGTATATTTTTCCATGCTTGTGAACTGTTATGCATCATTTATGTATATATGTGTATGTATGTGGGGGTAGGGGTACATAATAGCTTGTATATGTAGACAGAGCAATAATTCTCTTTTAAGTAATCTTGACAGTGGTTTACCAGTGTGTGCAGAAAACTGAGTATTTATTTTCTTTTAATTGAAGATTTTCTGATATTTAGTTATTTTTATTTTCCAGGATGCATATTCAGAACACATTAAATTCAAAATATCTAGACTGTTTGAAGTTTATTTGGTTGTGAAAAATGTATTGAGAATGTGATGAGATTAATGTGGCAGTTATGTGTTCAAGAATATGTTTCATCTAGTTGTTGGTGCATATATATTGTGAAATTTAGGTAAATTAATATTGGGGTTCTCTCATGTTATGATGAAAGCTTGAAAATACAATCTACTTTATTGGTCTATTTCTAAGTATGAGTATGTTAGAAATTGTGTGACTGAAACTGAAAGAAATAGTTTTATGCTAAAGCAGCTCACACTTAAATAGAGAAGTTACTCTCACAATGTTCATTAGATGTAGTTTTATGCTAAATCAGCTCACACCTAAATAGAGAAGTTACTCTCACGATGTTCATTAGATGTAGTTTTATGCTAAATCAGCTAACACCTAAATAGAGAAGTTACTCTCACACTGTTCATTAGATGTAGTTTTATGCTAAATCAGCTCACACCTAAATAGAGAAGTTACTCTCACGATGTTCATTAGATGTAGTTTTATGCTAAATCAGCTAACACCTAAATAGAGAAGTTACTCTCACACTGTTCATTACATGTAGTTTATGCTAAATCAGCTCATACCTATATGTGGAAGTTACTCCTACACTGTTCATTAGATGTAGTTTTATGCTAAATCAGCTCACACCTAAATAGAGAAGTTACTCTCACACTGTTCATTACGTGTAGTTTTATGCTAAATTAGCTCATACCTATATGTGGAAGTTACTCCTACACTGTTCATTAGATGTAGTTTTATGCTAAATCAGCTCACACCTACACATGGAAGCTACTCTCACACTGTTCATTACATGTAGTTTTATGCTAAATTAGCTCATACCTATATGTGGAAGTTACTCCTACACTGTTCATTAATGGTAGTTTTATGCTAAATTAGCTCCCACCTATACGTGGAAGCTACTCTCACACTGTTCATTATGTGTGAGATATGACTCTAATATAAGTGCTTTGAAGTTGTGCATAGTTTACTATTGAAAAATTGTGATTCCTACATTCACTTAATAATTGATCAAGGCATTTTCAACCAGAATGTTTGTTTTAACTTTTAAATCTATTGTGTGTGTTAGTGTTGTGTTATAAATGTTAGTCACATTATTCGTAGTAAAAGAAAAATTTTAGCCCAGTTTTAAGCTTGAAACTATGTTTATTCAGTGTAAAAAATATGTCTGACAGATTAAAAAATGCTTGTTAATTGATTTTTTTACTTTATAAACACTTTCTTTGGTATTGTAAGACGTATTGCTATAAACCATTGCATATCTATAGTATATTATAAAGAACTTTAAAGAATTTTTTATATGTATAAAGTTTCGTTGTTATTATCATTCCATTTCAATATTAGGACATTTAGTTTTTGGCTTATTTGTCAAAATACGTAACAAAACATATACTTTCAGGTTTTTGTTTAAATAGTTACATTAAAAGTGAAATTTTTTATGAGTGTTGATTTATCAAAAATTGTGTGTGTTATATACAAACACACAAATAGACCAAGCACAAGGTAAGATTACATTGTAGTGACACTCTCTAATTAACCACAAAAACATGGTCTTGTGGCCAGAAAATATTTATATTTGTGTAAATTTCTTGTTTATTCTTATCATTACAGGATATTATATTTTATGTTTTGTTTCTCTTCCTAATGGAAATATTTGGGTAACAACCTTGATCAAGAACATATTATTTACACATTATGTAATATTTTTTCTTTCCCAGTTATTGTGTAATAAGATACTTCAATCAACTGTTAGTTTTATACATCATAAAGCAACTTATGTTTAGGAGAAGTGTGAGTGTATTCTTTGGGTTTTAAGACAAAACTGGCTCAACAAAACATTTTTATTATTGATGATCGGGTTTGAATTTTTGTTTTTTCACCAAATTTGACGGGAGTAAAACTGTATGTATGGACTAGATTTGTAATAATTATAGAGTTTTACGTATTTGTAAATATTTTAAATTTCTACAATCTGAACTATATTATATAAGTTTTGCTTTCCAAATTAATATATTCTTATGTACTGTGAGTTTTTCTCAAGGAAATGATATACTGATTGTATGTTTGATTTTCAAAGAAATATATAGATAATCATATTTCAGCAAGACATTGAAATATATTAAAACTTACTATTTTTTGGATTTGTGGAAGTACTGTAGCACTACTTAGATGATTTAGAAATATTAAGATAAAATTTGAATTTCTACTTTCATGAAATGTGATATGTACATGTAGAGTTTAGATGATTATATAAATAGCAACATATTGAAAATATTAAACATTAGTTTTCTTAACCTTTACCATTGTTTAGAGACTTTACCCCAACAATAAAGCCATATTTGAAGTTAAGCTAATACTGATACTTTAAAAATTCAAACCTTATCTATAGGTCTAGTGATTCCATCTAATCAACAATGTCCAAATTATAGCAAAACATTCAAGAGGGTTTGATTTCACTGCTAAGTAATATAAAAAAAATGTGTAAGAATTTTAATTTATGATACCTAATCTCAATCAAAGCAAATCTGTATCTAGAGTTGTAGCAAAATGACTGTACCTGTCTGTCGGACAACAGCCCAGGACTGAAACCTATTGTTCAAACTTTTTGCATGATGAATGTATAAGTTAAGTGTATGTCAGTTAATCAAAACTTTATTGTGACAGAAGATGGACTCCATATACACTTAGATAAAACTTGACATTTCTCTAGTTCACAAGGTCTAGTTTTAATCTCTCAACTACATTATTAAACTTCCACACACAAAAAAAAGGTTTCATGGTATTTCGGCAGCAGGTGGATATGTGTCCAATGAAATTGGTGAAAGTTTTTAAGGAAATTCTGTGTATTTGTTAAATTTATAACACATTTTTCTGAAAACTGCAATAGTAACTAACAAGGTTTCTCATTTAGGACCACTGATTTACTTCGTAGCTAATACTAGTAACTTCTATGTCCATGAGATAATCTGTGTTCATTTGTTGAAATACTTTACTGATATAAGATTTTTTCACCTAGATGTAGTGAAATAACTATACTAATGGTTATTTTTAGTGGTTTCTTCACAATGTTGATGAATGTAACCATTTGTGACATTATTCAAAATATCTTAGAGTTCCAAATATTGATGTAAACAGCAGATTGTTGTGTATTATTTTTTCAAACTAAATAATGACAAATAAAACAGAAAGATGTCATTGTAGTGTATATATATTTCCTAAACCAAACTGTAAGTTGCCATACTCTTAAAATGCATTTATTAGAAACATAATATTGTTTGAGCTATATTGTATTAAAAATGAAAATGCATAACTCCCACTTGCTGTTGAATAAGTTGGATGCTAACTAGAGGTACTTACATTTTCATAATATGTATAGTAAATGTCGGACATTTTGTGGAATAGAATAATTCTAACATTTCTAGTTTAAAAGTCGTAGGTGAAAATTTAAAACAAATATATTTAAAAATGTAAGAAAACAATATTTGAGACCACTTGTTATAGGAATGCTGTTCTTTTCTTGTTTTGAAAATATATATAAAAACTCAAAGCACTGTTAAAAAAAAAGTTAGTGTTTTCTTTGTATTTGGGTTTAGGAGTAACTTAAATCTACTGATTTTTACCTGTCATTAAAAGATATATTGATTACCTTTCAGTAATTGTTAATTAATTATATTGACAGCTTTTACTAATGTATATTTTATTGTAAAACATGTGAGCTTGCTTGATGTTTTTAAAAACTAAATATGATAACGTATTGTTTATAGAACAGACACACCCAGTTTTACAATACTCTAAGTAACAATAAATGAAGCTTTACCATACAACATGAAGAGCCATGCCTAGAAATGTTGAATTTTACAATAGTATTAAGATATACTCGGGAGACATAGTTTTGTAGAGAAATTTTGTGATGTAAATAGACAGTTATGAGGTGTTTAGTTCAACAGTATTGATTGTTACATTCAATTATCATATTCTAGTAGCAGATTCAGGATAATTCAAGTATCACAGTAGTTATAGTAAATTCTAGATCAAGAAGTCTGTATATTTGGAAACATGTAACTGGATGTGCTTTCCTTCCCAATATAGGATCTTTGGAAACTACAGGGAGAATTAATGTCTTGATCTTCACATCCTTCATTGATTTTTGTACCATGACAATCTATGCTATTTATAAGGTTTCTTCCAGCAGTTGAATTCTATTCTTTAATGTTGTGATTAGCAATGCAGCATATTCGTGCTATTCCAGGAATTCTGCCCTCTGAATGTAACTTTCTGTGATTAGAGATGTTGCATTTTAGGCCAGTGATGGATTCTACTCATTAAATTTTACTTTCTGTGGACAGTAGTATTGCAGGTTTGTGCTAGTATATGAACTCTAATCTTAAGAAGACTGGTTTATAAGAATGTTGCCTATAAGTGACACCCAAGATATAAATATTTACAATGAAAGTTGTTTCAAATGTGATGAGACCAGCATAAAAGATGTTACTGATTATTTTGTATATGTTAAAAGTGTGAAGATCCATCGTTTTGTTATATTTTTGAACTGTTTAAAACCCCTTAATTTGTGATTCAAATCTACATACATGTGAAATGCAACCACTGAACAAACCTAATCTAATGTACACTGTATGTATCAACCAATGAAGTTGTGACTTGATCAGTAGAGCCAATTGCATAGTCACACATTAAAAATTACGTTATCCAATGAAATAAAGTCACTTTTGCAGTTATTTAGCAATAATGTTTTGCTGCATTGCTTACTGAGTAGGTTATAAGGTCCACAGTGAAGTAAGGTCAGCGAGACATCATTCAGGGAGAAGATGCATATCAGAACCATGTAAATTGTGGTAATTTTGAACTACAAAGATATCTCCAACTGAGCGAGATACTTCCTGCCAAAGAGAGCATCATTTATACCCAATGCCTTTAACAATACTATTACTCCAAGTGCCATGTATCTGATGATCCTGCTCCAGATAACAGTTAAGCTAATAGAAGTGATCCAAGCTATGTTCCTACTCCACTTCCCACTCCTGATGGATTATCAAACTAAACAGCTGGAATAAGCCCTAAGTGTTTTAAAACAGAATATCGGGTCAAATGTCAAATTTCATATTTGTCCAAAACATATCCATCTGACTGTTGTACCACTTTAAGCAAGAACCCATTTATTTGTTATACATGGTATCATCCTTGCTGGATCTGGGTTGTTAGTCAGTTGGACAGAAAACTGTTTGTACCCAACTCATGTCATGTGATAGATACAAGTATAAATGTCTCTACTAATTGTAATAAATGGATGTGATTGATCTTTTTGAGATCACACATGTTAGATTGATGGCCCCTTTTCAAAGATTCTATCTTTCAGGAATATCAAAGTAAGATCTGTGTACAATTTTAAGTTAGAAAACTACTTTTGTTCTAAATAGAGCAATATTCTGTTTTGGTGAGCAGTTTTGTTTCTCTAATTTTTAGAGTTGGTATATCAATCATAATATCTGCCATCTTGCATGGAACCTTTTGACAAAAGGGAACAACAGTGTTACCATCCTAGTTTCAGATGATATATTTGTATTAGAAAAGTGTCAAATATGCATTTCAAAGGTGAAGTTGCAGTGTGCATAAGCATCAGTCACTTGTCATACCAATGATGGTTGTATCCATTGATGGGCACATTGTCTCATTCCTTTGTCCACATCTTGCTGATGGGAGAAATAGTGATGCAGAAGTTACTTAACATACATTCTTAAATGGTGTTGAAAACATTTGTACCTGGATACAACAATATGGCTTTGTAAATAGAGGATTTAGAAATGCATTTGATTTTCTTTGTAAACTTGGTGTAAAATTCCAGATGCCATTCTCTTTGGTAAAGGGATGTACCCAGGATTATTCAGAGAAATCCATTTTTCCACAGCTTATCACAAAAGTGTGTTTGGCAGTAGATAGAGTAGATGTAATAAATTATCACATAAAACAGTAAAAACTAGTACTGGAGCTGGCATTTACCACCCTGCATATTCACTTTATAGGGAATTATGGGAGAATTGTCAGTGTTCTTTGCAATTGCTATCAGCCTGCTCTTGTTCAAAACAAAGAAGCTAATTCTACTGTTATACAATGCACTTAAATTGATGAACAATCCAAAACTTTCCAACATATAGAACTAGAAGAATAAGTGAAGAAGAGTTAGATGAGGAAAAATATTAGATACTTGATGCAGCTTTGGGCTTTTCACAGCTGTCTGAAGAATGTCTATTGTCACTGTTATTGAGCAGGCAGTACAATACACACAAGAACATCTACCTCAGGATGGACTGTATGACGTGTCAGTCACTAGTGAAAGAGGTGGTCTTCTTCATCCAAAAATTCAGTCATGTCATATTTCAACTAAGAATGCAGAACCAAAGTCTGAATGACCTGCCTGTGTCACACAGGTGAAAGAGTACCGAGGTGCTGTGCACACATAATGTCAGAAATGTGGTTTTTGGGACTCAAATGGCACAGGGTGACAAGACCCTAAAGGTGTTGAGGATGTCATAACAATCATCAATAACACTTCCAATGAATTGGACAGTGATTTAGGAAGGAATGTAAATATAATACTTATGTACATCTATGGGAGAGTTATGTACAAGATTAAAAGTAAATTTGTATTTATAGTTTTGTTATTAAGCAGAAAGCTACACAATAAGATATCTGATTTGTGCCAAATGTGGGTATGGAAACTTGATTTTTAGCATTGTAAGCCCTAGAAACTACAAATAAGCCACTGGGGAGCTTATATTTATGGTTTTACAGTTCTTGTGGGATAACGTAAGCATAATATATGTAAATAAAGGAACTCAAAGAGGGGGACACATTCCCATCTTATTGACTTTCCATCAATTTTTATCAAACAGTAATGTATATCCATCAAAATCAAAGGAGCATCTGACCTTCTATGATATGTTTTGTGATATAAGTCTCTTCTAATTGTATCATGATTTATATAAACATTTCTCCAAGTCTTAAAATAAACAAAATAAGCTGTTTTAAAGTTGGAAAAGAAACCTGATAACCCAAACACGTAAGGTAAGTGAACTTTTCTTCATTAAGGGTAAATAGCAAGAAAGTTTACACTCCCTTTTACTGTACACTCTTGATGAGTAAATATACTCGTGTTGGTTATATTATGGTCTTCACTGTAAACTTAATGAATAAATATTACTTGTATTGATTATGTTAGGGTCTTCATTGTAGACTCTTAATGAGTAAATATTACTTGTATTGATTATGTTAGGGTCTTCACTGTAGACTTAATGAGTAAATATACTTGTGTTGGCTATGTTAGGGTCTTCACTGTAGACTTAATGAATAAATATTACTTGTATTGATTATGTTAGGGTCTTCACTGTAGAGTTAATGAGTAAATATTACTTGTGTTGATTATGTTAGGGTCTTCATTGCAGATTCTTGATGAGTAAATATTACTTGTGTTGTTTATATGTGTCTTCACAGTAGACTTAATGAGTAAATATACTTGTGTTGTTTATATTAGGGTCTTCACTCTACGCTAGGCACGACCAGGTGGTTAGGGTGCTCGGCTCGCAATCTGAGGGTCGCGAGTTCGAATCCCCGTCACACCAAACATGCTCGCTCTTTCAGCCGTGGGGGCGTTATAATGTGACGGTCAATTCCACTATTCGTTGGTAAAAGAGTTGGCGGTGGGTGGTGATGACTAGCTGCCTTCCCTCTAGTCCTACACTGCTAAATTAGGGACGACAAACAAACAAACAATCCTCTTAGTTTATTCATTCTTTATTTATTCGAGGTTTAATGACTGTTTCACCTTTCACTTCATTCATTCCATATTTATTCGAGGTTTAACGACTGTCTCACCTTTTACTTCATTCAATCTTTATTTATTCGAGGTTTAACGCCTGTATCACCTTTTACTTCATTCTTTCCTTATTTATTCGAGGTTTAACGACTGTATCACCTTTTACTTCATTCTTTCCTTATTTATTCGAGGTTTAACGACTGTATCACCCTTTACTTCATTCTTTCCTTATTTATTCGAGGTTTAACGACTGTATCACCTTTTACTTCATTCTTTCATTATTTATTCGAGGCTTAACGACTGTCTCATCTTTTAATTTATTCATTCTTGATTTGTTCGAGTTTTAACGACTGTCTCACCTTTTAGTCTATTCATTCTTGATTTATTCGAGGTTTAACAGAATAAAGTCAACAACAGAAAAACATATTTTTATTACGGTGGTTAAAGGTAACAATAGATCTATC